CTTTATTTTCTGTAATGTAGTGTTGTGGCTAATGATACATTGCAGGCCATTTGACCATAAATCTTTTGGCTGAAAATTTCTATGCATAGATAATGTGGTGGGGAAGCGAAAAGGTGTTATCGGATTTGCGGATTTTCTTTCAGAGAAATTTAAAAGGTTGATGCATGGTGCGAGATAATTTGGAAAACGAAAATTGCTGGCATTCAATGACTAGATTTGATTACCAATAGTATTACGTCAATGTAATCTTGTTGCACTTTAGTATGATCATATTAATTTAAAATTAAATATATTTTTATTACGTATATTGTGTTTAAAATTGATTTAAGACTATTGGCCCATATACGCTATGGCCTAATTATGTCGATTTCTGTTAATAAGAGTAGAAGCTATGCTTTTGTCAAAATTCGAGATATAGTGTGCCTGAATTGGGAGAATTGGAAAGCAAGATTAACATTTTTGAATAGACATTGTAATTATGTTTATTCATGTTGTACGAAAACAACTGAAACACCAATATAATATTGAATACACGTTGCTTTGCTATGACAGTTTAACGGTCGACGGTTATGTAGAGTCTAAAGAACGTCCTATCATTTCCTGACGTAAGAGCAAGCACAACGCTTCCTAAGAGCTGAATAGGCTGTTTCCAAAAAGAACCGTGCGGGTGTTTCCAAAAATAGTGATGAGGCGTGCAAGGCGCGGATACGGACCGTCGGGGGAGGATTCTCCGGGACAGAACTGGAACAGAGCAACCGAGTGGGAGCGCTGAATATGCATCAGGCAAGGTGCATTCGGTCCCATGCCCGAACACGATAGGGACGTAGTTCATGAGTGTTGAGATCACGATTATTGAAAGCGGTGAAATATAGTGGCAGGGTAAGAAAAAAAAAACTTAATTAAATATTTAGAAGAATATGAATAAGGAAACCAAGAGCTAAAGGTTTCATCCATGAAGTAAAATGGGGAAATTCTTCGTGATGAAAGAAATATATAAATGCAGATATATGGGTAAACGAATGCAAAAATGAAAATGATAAAAGACGAGTGAGACCCAAAAATGATTAAGTAAATGAATGTTGGACAGAGAAATAAGCTATGAGAAATATAATCTATTTTGGCTGAAAGTAAAGAATAAGGATGGAAAGAATCGGTGAAATGTTTTATTATAACAAATAAAAATCTTAAAGAAAATATGAAGAATATAACAAAGTAAAAGAAGAATAACAAAAGGAGATAGTCGATTGCTTAACAGTAGATCAATTTACGATCGTAAAGTCAGCAAATGAAGCATGTGAGTGATTGTATCAGGAATTGTAAATAAGAATATATAACATTAAGACTTAGAACCAGAAATATAAGAATGAAAAGTAGAAAAGGGAAATTAAAAACCGCAAGAAATTGGAATTTCCGCCTAATAGCCTCATACGCTGGGCACACACATATTTACCAGTTAATGTAATTTCATACTTCTCTCTTATACTTGGTGTGTTCTTGCTGATGAAATTACTATATCTAGTGTAAAATAATTCCCTTTTAAAACTACACTTCATCGGGATAAAAGTAAAATTCTCTTAGAAAATGTTTGATTGACAAATTAATTGATGTTCCCAGATACGTTAGCTGCTATTGTCATTAGTCACGAAGTGTAGTGAATGTATTCGAGGTATCAGAGTATAGTGAGTTATTCGAGTAGTTAGCAATTATTTCTTTCCCGCTGGATGGTGAGATCCGGCGCTGTCGTCCGGCGATCAACGTGTCGGCTTGTGGGGCCTTTCCCACTCCAGGTATATCGCCCCAATGGGTTGTTGCCCAGCCTGGACAAGCTCTAAGACACCGACTAGTGTGATAGTGTAGTACATGAACATTAGGGCTGAGGATAGGACATAAAAGGAGAAGGAAAGGTTGTGTTAGTTACGGAATAGAAAAAATGGAACAGAATCAACATCAATTTTATTGACCTGAAATCGTATTTTAGACTTAAAACTTAGCTTGTTTACCGAGCTCCTAAAACGCAACGCATCCCAGGCGTCGTGGACACTCGAGCCCACGGCGAGGGGCGTGGCTTTGCCTGACTGTACCTGCGCAAGAAGTGCCTGCCACGGTCTCGAGACCCGTCTTTTGGACTTAAAAACCGGGAGAGGTCTCTCAGGGTATCAACTGAGTCACCACAGTTCCTCTGACCTGGAGGTTCTAGGTTAGCGACCCAACGATAGCAGGATTTTCGACACTAGCTTGTCAGATAGGTCGAATTCAGTCGCTGTCTGGGGAGGGATTATAGCGGCCGGCTACTCTGATCGATAGTTTTCCCTGGTTTCTCCGATCAACACCAGGCAGTACCCTATCAAACGGGCCACAGACCGCGCGCAATCTTACCTACCTCTTCCTTTTCCTATCACTTCCCCTTACACACACACTTACACTATCATACAATACACAAACACTCATGACGGGAGAACGGTCGGGTGATTAGAGCTTGTCCCGACTGGGAGCGGTGTCCCGCTGGTGGCAGATACCTGGTTGGGGAAAACCCCGCTAGCCGATGGTAGGTCGGCGCCGGATCTCGCCGTACGTGGAGGGAAAGATCACCGCAACCACCCGAGCAAAAACACTCACTACCCTTCCGGGACTAATGACCCTGGTAGTTGAGGGTAATCACTTGAAACCAATTCAAATCAATCAATCAATTGGCGCTTTAGAACCTCGCTTGTTTACCGAGACCTAATGCAAACATCGCTTCCCAGGCGTCGTGCCAGTCGAGCCCCTGTGTGTGTGCGCGCGGACTGACTTGCGCAGACGAGGCTGCTGCGCGTGCGGCGAGGTGCGGGGGTTCGCGTGCTCGCGGGGCGGCAGCCCTCACGCCCACGCGCCTTCCGTCGCAGGAAGGAAGGAAGGCCGTAAGGCCAGCGGCGTCGGCGGCGGCGGCGGCGCCAGCAAGCAAACGGCGGCCGCGGTCATTTCATTACCCGACGGTCCCCGCCCTTTTCCCCCCATCTCCCCCGCCACGCCACGCCACGCTTCGCTTCCGCACGCCACGCGCCGCGTGAAATATATTTCTCACTAAACTCATATTTCTACCCCCCTCCCTCCCTCCGTCCCTCCATGGGCGCCTGGAAAAGAGCGCTTTAAAACGTAGTAAGAGATGCAGTGTTCCCTTTTTATTTTGTTTTTTTTCCTCCTCGTTTTTACGTCTGTTCTTTCCGGGTAGGGGTTTTTAATGTGGATCGTAAACATGCTTGTTATTGTCCACTTTACGCATCATTTTGAAGCATTCTGAATAGGATGTTGTGTCTTGGTTGAGGTTGTTAGCTTCTTAATTGTCCACACATATGTTTCTTACTGTATGTTTAAAACGTATATCATCTTCATATTGTATTCTTATACGTGAACTTAATTTTGTTATGTTACTTGCGTCACATATCTGCAAAGAGAGTTGCATATGTGCAGGGGAAGATATAAAATTGCCTTCATGGAATTAAAATTCTTAAATTCTATAATACATCATTCGACGCTTTCTTACTTTGACAATTATGATTTTCGAGTTTTGATTTAACCTTAACTACTATTAATATTTCATACACATTACGGAGGAGTTTATTCTTTATGATACACTTGTATAGGCAGCAATATTTTTCTGGTGACCTCACTACGCAAAGTAGAACCATTTTTATATAATTTCTGAGTGACTAAGCATTTAAAATTGCTTCTGATATAAACTGCATTGAGCTAATATTTTAACACAATACTTTCGTATTAAAAATTTTCATTATAACACCGGAAAGATCCGACAGATTAGGAAATGATTTAAGGGAAATCTCTTCGAATGTTAAGGCTGGTTTTGGAAGTAAGTGAGAATTTGTATAGATTTTTATCTCATCTTTCCAGATACAATGAAAGAACCATATATTGGAATTACCCATCCTTTTTCTCTTCTTGCTAGCAAGTCAGTCAGGTGACTTAAGCTGACTTATAGATCCTGTAATTGTTACAAGTCCCCTACTAATTGCAAGCACATGTAGAAAACGGTCTCTTTCTTGCTACCACTTTGCTTGGAAATTCTCTTATAATTCACAGAATGACTTCGTTGGCGGCGTAGACTTCATTTTGTGACATTAATTGAACGAAGCAAAAGACGACACTGACTTCTATAACACGCTTATTTTTTTCTTTTTTTTCAGTGGCATTAAATGAAGTACTTCGTCCAAAGGAAATGCCCTTGCTTTCGATCAGAGCCTCGCCATTACCGAAGGAAGACTCCAGCAAGATCTACCGTAATACACGACTTCAAGGCAAGTTCAATACTTACTTACCTACTTTCCAAGCCGGCGCTGGAGACGGATACCTCGATTTTTCCGCAAACATCGGTTGTTTACTCGAACGCGAAGTCGTATTTCACGCCGCTCGCACCGAACCGGCTCCCGCGACCGGGCGACTCGTTTCACGCAGACCCTCGCCTCTTTGTCCGCGTCATGTATCGGTTCTCCGCGGCCCCGACTCCGCCTTCGCCGCGGCAGGGGCGCCCCCGCGGCGCGCGGCGCACAAAGCGAGCAGCTCGTCTTCCTCCGCAAAGTGGAGCGCTGCTGTATAATTATACAATAACCTTTTTTATATCGACGCCGCGACGCCGCCCGCCCGCTGCGCGCGGTCGCTGCACTTCGGGGCGGCTGCGTTTTTAAGAAGCCACTCCGCTGCAGCTTCTCCCGCGGCCGCGGATATATTGGGCGTTTATGCGGGCGCGGCGGGAGGCCCCCGCCGTGTGGGACGGGGGGCGGGCGTTTGAGGAGAGTGGTTACGTGGGAGCGTTGGTGCGTGGAAGCCAGACTCTCTGGAGACCATTTGCAGAAATTAGGTAAGAAAGTAGTACCGTATTGGCTGAGAGGGAAATCAATTTACTGGGGCGTTTTAAAATAACTAGTGTTCTCTTTCTGGACGATTTGAGTATAAAAAAGCGTTGAATACTAAGTTCCACTTCCTGGATTTACGACTTAGTTTCAGTTAGAATTTGTGTACAAAATATTGTTCTTATAATCATGAAATAACTTTCTTTATATTGATGCCACATTGTCACCGCCAGTTCCGACATGCAGCAGCACTTTGTGTTGCTTTTTAAGAAGGAACTTCACTGTAGCATTTCTTGGGACTATGTTTATGTTGGGCGTTTATGCACTCACAGTAGGGAGCACTGAGTCATAAATGATGGATAATGCGGAAACTGAGGTTGACAGAGATCGGCGCATGAATTTCAAACTATTCTAAAGCAGCTCACAAAGCTGGGTTTTTATTCGTTTTCACGGAAATCATTCTTTGTCTACGAAAATAATAGTTGGTTATGTCTTAAAATAAAATACAATAAAATATTCGATATTTACAGATACAGATATTTAACTTTTGCAACTGAATCTATTTCGTGATTGGACTTTAACTTCATATTTTCCTCCAATTAACTCGTGCAATTATACAATAAAATTCTTTATATCCCTGACCCATGACGAGTCGCCGCGGAACCCTGCAAACCATCCTAGGAGGATGCTCTCTTGCGTGGCGTCTCTCTCACGACCGCGGATATTTCAACCTTTATGATCACTGAGTCGGATAGGAATATGAAAAATTTTTAAATGAAGGCCGCAGAGTGTAGTAGCAGAGGTGAATATGTGAGAACCAAGAGGGTCAAATTGCCATTTTCCCTCAATGGACGGAAACAATTTTGAAGGCGAGAGATGTTAGTGTCTGCAAAGTAGAGTATTACTTACGATGGGTAACGTGTGAGTCGTTTTAAGAAAAATCGGATGATGAACAGCTGCTAGAAAATATTTTATTGAGAATAACATTCGCTCATGTTAGTTCACTGATTAACATTTACTCATAAAAAATAAATTAAAATGTGGAAAACACATTTCTTTAGTATCTATCATTCTCACTCTCTTGCGCTTATTTTAATTTTGTATTCCAAATAATTATGCGTTATCTGGATGATATGTTTGTAAGATATTATGATAGCGCTATTATTTGAACTGACATTTTTACTTCAACGAACGAAGAGAAGTTATGCCAGTCATTAAAGAATGAAATATATAGGAGCCTAAAAATAAAATCAAGTGAAAAGAATGATAACATTTGGTACATGTTAACACATGGGTATTGGTTCACAACATATGGCATTCTTAGTATTTAGGCTCTTGCTAATTCTTGATCGCAAACATTCGTCTCTCTTAAATTATTTTATATTAGACAAGATTTGTCTACATATCAATATAGTAATAACAAGACTTATTTATCTAATAATTATTTATCATCGAATTACTGCTTTCTGAGCAGGTTCATGATTTTTACTCCCACCCATTTTTAGATCTCTATAGCTGTTATGCCCTACAATTTCTTCAGTACGTGGGATCTCTTTCTGCTCTTCGTTTTTCTGCAAAATACCTTTAGATAACTTTCCTCTCAAATCACGTCCTATTCAATTTCTTTTCCGTATTTCTACCACCTCCAATTTGTGCCTTTGCTTTCGAGTTCTTAACACTTTCACTTTTTACAAGGTCTTTGGAATGGTTTATCTTATCCTTCACATCTCCACATTTTCCATGCTTACAGTATTTACACATTATTATTATTATTATTATTATTATTATTATTATTATTATTATTATTCCTATAATTCACAACTGAAGATATTTTGAGGATATAAAATCTACAATAGATTGCAAAAAGATTTTTAAGGAGCACACATAGGGATTCTCAGTGCTTCAAAATATGGACTGTTCCCAATAATGCAATGTCTTACACTTCCAAGTATTTTGAAATATCTTGGAGTACACCAAGAGTTTTACACAAATTTTTATTATTATTGTTAATATTATTGCTATTATTCCTCAATCGATAATTCACTATTTTGCTGTAATTATTTGAAAATCTCTACAAACGTAGAGTAGTGTGCCCTTTTGGGAGGGTAGCTGCAGCTCTAATGCAGAAACGCGCCCTCCCTACGCCTTGGCGACGTCTCCGCCCTCGCGGCGCCAGTGCAGTCGCGCCCTCGCGACGCGCGCGTGAATAATCGCTCGCCCCGCGCGCGCGATGACAAACGGCGGGCGTGCGGCGGGCGCGCGGCGTTTTCTCGTCCGCGCTATCAGGCGCGCGCGTGACGGATGCGACGTTCATCAGCGGCGATCGCGCTGCCCACCGTGGAAGTATATCAACATCAGCCCAGGCGCCCTTTCCCTCCCCCCTCTTCGCGGCGCTCTGTTTGTGTTTTATCCCCGCGCGCCGCCACCCTCGTCCCTGGCCGCACCCTCGCCCTCGGCAGCGCCGCGCGGCGACGCGTCCTGTCAGCGGCATGCTCGCGCCCAGCCCAGCCCAGCCCAGCCCAGCCCAGCCCAGCTGAGCCGAGCCGCGCCGCGGCCGCGCAACCTCTGCAATTCGATCCTGTCCATTTAGCTGCGGCCGCGCTCGCGCTCCCGGTGCAGACGTCCTAACTCCCGCTAGTTTGTTTCACGGTGCTCATCTGTGGCGTCTCATCTTTGTTTTTTTTTATTCACTTGCTCGGCGATGCTGCCTTTCAGGGGTAATATTAAATACATTTCATTCACGTTTAGGCTTGGCCATTCCTAACTATTGCAGCCATGTGGCTACTTCTGCGTTTTCAATGCTTTTTGCTTAATAAAATTTTTGGAACTTTTTGAAATGTTTTAGTTTTACTTCATTATGGGTTTTTTAAATCTTTTGCATACCGTGGTCTCTTTTGGGGGTTTTGGTACGTTTTTCCTTATGAAAATAGTGCGCCACACGGGGTCTTTTTATGTGATTCAGAGAACGATTGGGAAGATCTAGTAATAAAATATTTGATCGGTTCTGGTTTTAATTCTCTGTGAAGCTGATTATTGCTGATATACCATGAGTTTCTGCGTTATTAGTTATTCCGCGTAAGCATTGGTTTTGTATTATTCGCCGCGTCGTCTAATACGCGTTCTGTACGTCGTCTAATACGATTATGTGCGCTTTCGAACGTTTTTGTAGGACCTCATTTCTGTTTTTGTTTGCTGCTCTTGTTTTTTTGTCTCGTTGTGACGTTTGTTCACTCATTTCTCTTCTTGCAGAGTATCTTTCACATGGCTTGCTGGTCCTTATTGTCCCCCATTTCTCTCGCTTGTTTGCGCTTGACATCTTTCGTATGCGCCTCTCCTGAATTTTTTTTTGTTCTCCTTTATACATCTTCCGGTGGACTACTGGGTCTTTGAGAACTCTTTCGTTTTGGGTGATTCTTCTCTTGCAAGGTTTAGTTTTTGTAGTATTCATCCGAAAAGAAACAATGTATTTCCGTACGGTTCAATCGTTGTTGGAGCTTGGACTCGACTAATTTTGATGCCTCAGGATTCTGTTCATCGTAAGATCTTACTTTTTTGTTTCTTGCTTCCCCTCATATCATTCAATTTCTGTGGAAATTTATCTTCTTTCATTCCTATCATTTCTATCTTTTGATTTCATTTATTTGCTTTAGCAAGTTGTCTAACTGAATTACGATTTTTTAAAAAAATATTTGTCATCTGCCTTTTTTTTCTTCCTAGTTATTTGAAAGCTACATGCTTTAAAACGTTTACTTCCTTTATGTCATTCTATGTCGAGTTCGCTGTATAGTGTGATTTTGTGATGTGTGGAGATGTGCAATTTTTTCTTTTTATCTCAAACTTAACCTAATATTCTGCGTGTAAGCAACACAAATCAATGCTCTCTAATTCAATTTTGTACATTATTTTCATAGTATTTTCCCTTCCATCCCTTCCGGTTTCGATATCTTACTCTTGTTTTCTAATACACATATCTTTCTATTCTTGTCTCCTGCTTTGTCATTGTGTTCTTTCACTAACCGTTATTCTTTCACTTACCGTGTGTGCCCCGTGACAGTCCCTGTTGCCCAATCCCTCACCCTTGGGCCCTTCCGTTCCGGGCTCTCTTCTGTCCCCGCGCCGCGTCGCGCTGCCCTGCCCGCCGCGGGCCGACCGCTCGCCCCGCTCTCCCCTCGCC